TGACCGCCACTGAACACAGAGTTGTAAACCTACGCGCGTGCGTACTACGCAATAGTAAAGAGTCATTGCTGGACCCTCCAGTAGAGAGTAGCCGCTGCCATTGATGATCCGGACACCAGCATCGGCCGATAGGAGCTGCTCTCTGACAGGCGAGGAGGGGGAGGGTCTGAGGTGGGGAGGGGTTGACCGCGGGGCTACTGGCCAGCGCAGTGGGAGAGGCTTGGTTGGCGGTAGGCTGACAGGGACACCAGCCTCAGGGCAACAGTGAGCTTTGACCCGAGGCGTGCGAGAGCGATGCCCGATGTCATTTTGTGAAGCAGCCAGCGTGTCACGGATTCACGTGGGAGCTTTGACTGAAATAACTATCAAGGCTACAGTTTTAAAGATAGAAAAAAGCAGCATTTGAGAGAAGATGTTCGTAATGAGCAGTTGTAACTTACTACAATATCAGATTTACCATTTATTTTATTTAAAATATTTGAATGAATTGATGTTTTGCATAACAATAGCCGATCAGAATACCTTAAATTTTAACCACCTGTATAGTCTAATTCTGTAAAATATTTGTGCATTAGCTTCGGTTGTCCGCCGAACTTTTTTGTTCATTGAGGGCCTCATCGACATGACCTGTATTACAAGATTTACGCTGTAGCAAAATCCTACGCTAGCTGTATGAGTAGAAATGCTGTATGACAAAGGCACGGGCGCCCGACAACTGGGTCGAGGCAGGTGGAGGCCGGCCAGAGGTCATGCTCGTATCAATCACCCTTGACCCCGTCCACCGCCCCCGGCGGATACTCAACAGTGCGCTCATTGGCTCATTGGTTTGTCTCAGTGAGCGCCAATCACAGTCAGTTCAGTGTGCGTGCTGCGTGTGAGATCACAGCGAAGCACGATACTGCCATAACCCTATACTTGGAAGAGGCCTTCTGGACGGCGTTGCCAGTTAATGGGGTGGGGGGAGAAATTCGACATACAAATAAGTTTCTAAAATAAAATGGTCAGTGGATGAATAGCATAACATTTCTTTCAACGTTCACTCGTTTTCATAAAAAAAGACGAAGAGAAGAAATAACGTTGAAGCATATGACTAATTGACTACTAAGCGAGCCAATACTTTTTTAAATTTATATTTATGGAAGGGTGCAATGTAATTGCAGTCACACTTGTATTTTTTTAGCGATTGCAACTTGAATTGGTGATCATTCCGTACACGGTCTGAAGCTATCGGGATAAATAATTGAAATACCTGGGTGAATTGCGCCACCCATGTGCCGATGAGTTTGAATTTTTCCGCTTTGCGATAAAAAAACAACTGTTTTGCAAGTAGGACGGCTTCCGTTGACCAAACGTTTATTGTCATCTCAAAGGGCGGCGACCACCTCCCCGTCCCTCCTCGACCCCTCCCCTTTATTTACAGGACGGAGTCCCGTCCCTCACCGCCGACTGGTCACGTGATTGGCTTCGCCCGAGGCCCAGCCGACTGACCCGGAGCGCGGTAGGCGTCATGCCATGCTGCTTTAATCACTCACCACATCGCGGCTACTGTTCAGAGAGCCTTGACACCAGAAACGTCGTGGCGGAGCGGTTAAGCGTTAGGCTATAGATCGCGGGGTCGCGGGTTCGGACCGCGCCGGGGTTGTCCGTTTTCCACAGACTGGTTCTGGCCGGCTCAGGCGAGATGGATATATCTTTTGAGGTTATGACCTCACGAGCACTATGAATACAATCGACATTCGTTGACTCTTGTTCGGTCATAAGATATTAGCCGATTATATGTTTGTGTATGGAAATATCTCTTTCCTAATTCGCAAAAAGTAGCCGACTCACTTTATCATCATATAACTCACTTGACGTCATTGCACTGGCAAGTGAGTTGCTAGAAATGTGACCTCGTCAGAACCATTTTGCAGGTTGTTAAAAGGACAGACAAGTCCATTGGCTGCGGTGACTATGCAACCTGCCCTGATCATGTAAACGGCATTGTGACTAGTTCAGCCACGAACACATCCGCATTTTCCTAGAAAGAACTATCGGCACGCTCGGTGCCGCGGAGCCGCAGTGTTGCCAGGTCTAGAGGTAAACCTCCAGATCTAGAGGTTTTAGGGGAGCGTTTCGGGGCTCCTGGAGGTTTTTGAAAAATGCCGGATTCTAGAGGGTTTTCTAGAGGTAATCTGAAAATGCGAGAAAGGACAATTAGCATCAAGGCCTCTTGAGAACTATTTAGGTACTTAATTTCATGTTATTATTGCAGTATTGCATGCTTAAACACACTTTTTACAGATTGATGGAAACGAAAAACCTACTTTTGGCTTGTTTACTATTGAGGCTCCGGCCACCGTCTGCAGCTAAAAGTTCTCGATATACCGTGGGCACCAAGGCTATGTAAACGTGGGCACCAAGGCTACTTGTTAACCTGGTGCCCACCGTGGGCGGACACCAAGTTATGTGGACAAATATGCGAAGGCATGCGAAGGATGAGTGAATTATCTTGATTGGGGATACAACCGGGTTTTTCAAAGCCCGCCGCCAGCTGCTGCCAGCGCGCTGACGTCACACTTTGGGTCTGTTCCAGTCGCACTTTCTAACAACTCTAAACTCCTCCAAGAGCAAGATAGAGGAGGTTGGAGCAGGGCTCTTTTGATTTGTAGGGGCTAGAGCTGACACTGGAACAGGGAAGCAATCTTGGAGGAGTTTAGAGGTGTTAGGAGGTGCGACTGGAACAGACCCAATTTGGTAGTGTTGGAGCAATGGGCTTGATGATGTCATCACGCGCTGGCAGCGGATGGCAGCGTGCTTTGAAACAGCGCCACGGTTTGTGATACGGAGGTAGGTATGGAGGTAATATACATCATAATCAGCGGCAATGGAACAGAGGTTTCTAGAGGTTTTCACAACATTTTCTGGAGGTATTGGCATCACTCGACCTGGCAACACTAACCCGGTTTACATAGCATATTTAACGAGGCTAAAACTCGTTAATTTGGCGATAATTTCGTTGCAGTTGTCTTCAAATATTTAGAGGGGATCATTTTGTAAATTGTTAAGCACCATTGGCATCTTTTGCAACATCACGGACGGAGATATAAGCTTGCAACAAACCCTATGTAAACCGGGTTACTGCGCGGAGGGTATGCCAACCTAACAGACCCGCACTGCCCAGCGCTCCGCTAGCCCGGAGGCGGTTGGCGAGGCTGACCCCACTGACCTCGCTCCGCGACCAGACTCTCGGTCACTCACGCCACAACCGAGAGGCGCCAGCCTCGACGCAGGGGCATCTGGCGCCATTCATGCTGCCTCCGAACACGGTGATTGGTTTGCTGCAGAGTCACGTGGTTGGGGCATCAGTGGCGTAATCAGGAATTTAGTTACCAATCTCACCAACAGATGGCTCTGACCGACGATTTTTAAATACGGAGTGATCTAAAGGTAGGTGACAATACGAGCCTACAGCTGCAATGATGATGGCACATGTAGGCTACATTCCAAGTTTCATGATAATCTGACAAATGGTTCCCAAGATACAGATGCAAACTCTAACCACTACGGATACCCCACATTAGGTACTTCAGCGGTGACCTGTACAATTGTAAGAACTGGGTAGCATGCGTGATAACCTGCATTCAGTTTACATTAGTCTCCAATATTTTTTTTTAGTTAAAACGAACCTTCATATTGCACGTAGGACAGGTCGATTTTAAAAGCTGCGTTTTCAATTACTCTCAAGTTTATCCCGACATCCTGGTTCGTTTATCTTCTCTAACAAGTCGTTCGAGACTTAACCCGCGAGTTGCTGGGGGGGGGGGGGGGGCGTTAAACGCCCCCACTTTTTTCGCCGGGAAATTGCGGCGCGCCAAATTTTGGGTACCTGTAGGGAATTGATTAAAGTGTATTGTGACAAAGTTAAAAAAAAATCGGTCGAAGGTTTTTGAGATATCGAGGTTTTAGTGACGTCATGATTTCTGAGTTTTCGACCAAAAACGGCATATGTTCAAAAAATCATATAAAATCACATAATAGACATACAGACATGCCGTAAACGCCATTCGACTGCCAATACCATGAACAATCAAATGGCTATCTTCGATTATTGATTGTCGTTCCGCATTTTCCAAAAGCTTGAACTGAATCTTGGCAATTTCTTGTGACTACTTCACGACCATGATACATGCATTTCTTAAATTGAACTTTTTGAGCCAAACACGTACACATATGATAAAATGAAGGTCACCATCGTGTTCTACGCCCCAAATTACACATAAAACATGTGTCACAGGCTGCGAATATCAGTTTTGATTTTCGGGGATATTTGCCTACCCGGTTGACCTGACCTTGACCCTGACCTATGCTTAACTGACCCCTACATGGAGCTGACACTCTTGTAGGCCTTATATGATGGATTGTGCACCGTTTTGACAGAGTTTATGACGAGAGGCGCCCATTGCGAGGTCCTGAAGTCCATGCTACTGAAAGCCCGATTTCAGGTGTTTGACCTGACCTTGACCCGACCTGTGACCTCAAAATTCAACTTTAATATACTCATCTGAAGCGTCTCGTCGCGTTCTTTCGTTTGCCGCCTCGTGCGTTTCGCTGCGCCTATTGGTTCTCGAGTTATCGGCTGGGGGCGTTTAACGCCCCCCCCCCCCTGCAGCAAACGGTGGGTGGCGAAATATCCCAGCAACTGCCGGGTTAATGTGAGAGCACTTAAAACGCAAATATACGTATTTGGTTAACGACGAAGTTTGACACACTAGTGAAGACATAACATTAGCCCCCATTTCTTATCTGTTTTAATGTTAATTCAAGCATTAGTAACGACCATCTTCAGCTCCACATTCCCTAAACAGCCTTGACATCGCTCACTCCCATCTTGACCCACACAATCCTACAAAGTGTCATCATTCGCTGCCTCTTTGTCTGATACTAATCCATTCACAGATTAACTGAATTCCCGATATTTTACGCATGACCTTGACCTTGGTCTGTGACCTTTTTCACAGACGCGCCCGTCTGCCTGCCCGGTCAGAAGATCCGCTACGGCGCGGCCAGAGGCGAGACTGCCCAGGTCATGTGCAAGGTGGACGCGAACCCACCCGATGTGGCCTACAAGTGGCAGTTCAACAACTCAATCAAAGTGTTCGACCTGTCCTACTCGCAGGTCAGTTGCACAGCTGTGTGACCCGTCCCATTGCACGTCAAACGGCGCTCCAATGACGTGGAAGCTCTGACGGAGGTTGCATCATGATTTGACGATGATAACTTTACGAATGTTTGGATCTGGTCAGTCGCGGCATCAGTAAGATCTATTCTCATGTTTGCGACTCAAATGTTTGGCATACAATCTTTAATTAAATTTGTACTTGTTAGCCAAGCCTACTGAGACAGAGGCAACGCCAGATAATGAAGAGATCAGCGATGAATGTTCTGAAGCAATCGGCAATTGGTGATCATCTTTCTGATAGTGGGACGTAATATTGACACAAGTATTGAATAACGTTTGAGCTCCACAATTCCAGTGGTGAGCTTAAAGTTGAACTTGTTGAGGATCATTGCTGTCTAACAGCAGATAAAATAAAGCCGTGCTGATTCTAAACAAGTGTATCCGGCATCGAAAGAAAAAACAATGCTTTAAGGTTTTCGGCTGAACTCAACTTGCCCTGACAATCATTACACAGACTAAAGCAGTGTTTTCTCAATGCAACAATTCTAGCTTTGATTCGGGGTCAATCAACCCTGACAAGTTGTCAATCTCCCCCGCTGCGCTCCTCAGGTACGCTCCCGTGGTATGGAGAGCCGGGCCAGCTACACCCCACGGACCGAGAACGACTACGGTACCCTGCTGTGTCGCGCCGACAACTCCATCGGCCGAATGGTGGAGCCGTGTGTGTTCGAACTGGTGGCTGCAGGTGAGTTCCGAGTGGAGGGAGTGGAGTTAATTGAGCTGAGTTTGCCGGTGAGTTCACTGCTGCAAATGAGGTGCGTGCTAGTTAGGTAACATTTCACGAAACGAGGCTTGCTATTTCATCGGATGGGTGGCTTCGAGGAAGTTTTACTCCAAGTTACTAACTGACTGGATGTGACTCGGGGATTCGTCGATTTCTCTGTATGCTCACGTTTAATTTCATGTGGAGTTTGACTGATGCTACTTGAAATGTTGAAGTGATTTAGTTCTGGCGTCTGCCAAATGACACACCAGCGATTCAAATCACGTCTTCCATAAATTGCATCTGCCAGTACACTCCACAGAAGCGTGATTGGTCCATTTCATCGTGCTCATGTCTGGCCTCCTCAATACACTGATGGGATATGTGCAATATTCATGAAGTTTCCATCTGCATACGGAGCTGAGCGACCACCCCCTGTGGCCGGGTCGGCAGGTCGGCCGGACCCGCTGCGAAACTGCAGCGTCATCAACCAGACGTCCCACTCACTGGAGGTCGAGTGTCGCGCCGGGTTCGACGGCGGCCTGCCGCAGTACTTCGTGGCCGAGCTGTTTGACCAGACGGGCCAGGAGCTGCTGCGGAACTTTACCCGTCCGTTTCCCGACTTTGCCGTGGCGGAGCTGCCGGCCGGCCTCGAGCTGCGTCTCGAGCTGTACGCGGCCAACAGTCGCGGCCGCAGCCGGGCCGTCACACTGCACGGCTTCACCCTCAAGATGCCCGAGAAGGGCGCGTCAATGGGAGATTCAGGTATGTGATGTATTAACCCGGCACCGCCTGGGCTATTTCCGTACCCACGACAGCCTGGGGGGGGGTCGGATCCGACCCCCCCTGTTATCTCGAGAACCAATGGTCGTATCGAGCCCCGCGAGGCGGCGTTCGAAAGGTCTCTACGAGACCTTCCCAAAGCACTCTTAAGATTTTAAGATTGAGGTCAACTTTCGGGTCAAGGTCAGGTCAAAGGTCAAATTCAGGGGTTTGCATGATTAGGCTTACGGACAGCAGAATCGATAGCTGCTGCTCGAAACTCACCAAAAATGACCTCAAAGGCCTAGTGAAGGTACCATGTGCGTATAGGGGTCATACTAAGTACGGGTCAAGGTCAGGTCAGGTCACGAAAGGTCACGGTTTTCACTATCTGCTACATAGGCGTGCGATACATGTTTTATGGCTTATTTTTCACGCCGAATCCGATGATAATGGTTATATGTGACCCCAAGTCACTGTGCTGGTGATAAGTGTGCATTGAAAGCATAGAAAATCGTTTATACCATACATAACTAAAGGAGGGCTGAGAAAAATGTCAATTTTTCAACTTTTTATTTTTGACATAAAAATGCACTTTTCTAGACGAGCTTTGTCCCAGGAATCTAGTGGTGCCATTTGTTTTCACATGCGATGTTCAGAAGTGCCTCTAATTCACGAAAATGCTTATGACGTCACCATGCCCTATGCATGTTGGAGCTATTTTTTACAATTTGGGGGTCAAAAATCAAGATAGAAAGTTGAAATTTGGGGCATCTAATGTTCTTATAGAGCTCTACAACATATATTCCGGTTTTTTTTGAAATTCCCAAAATTTTGGATTTTATTAGCTGTTTCCCAAAAAATATAGTTTTTTGAATTTTTAGGGGTGAAAAATGCATTTTATGGAAAATCCGAGATAGCCATTTTAAAGAACTTGTTGAGCTGCGTCTTTTCATGTCCTTAATTAGCAATTTGCTTTAAACCCTGATTTTTGGCGATTTTTTAAACATTTACCACTTTTTGACTAAAAACGCCATGTAGTAACATCACTAAAATCGATATATCTCAAAAAATTTTGGAAATTTTTTCTTAAAAATTGCACAGGAGACGTCAAATTGATGGGGGAGAAGGTATGCCAAGTTTCAAGTAGATAGCGAAAGTGGTTCATGAGTTATTCAAGAAAAACCGAGGGGGGGGTCGGATCCGACCCCCCCCAGGCGGTCGCGGGTAAGGCGAATTGTTTGTAATCGATGTGGCATTTGGTTTTGGCTCTGGACTCCGGGTAATTTAGTTAAGTAGTTTTTCTATCGGATATCAGTAACGTGTCAAAGCAAAATCAAAGCTGATATTGCAATATGTATGTATGTCATTTAATAACACGCCTGATATCGCCATTTTTTAAGAAAAATGGTTAGATATCAATCTTTTCATCAATCTTATCAATTTCATTTTAGTGAAATCAATCAATTTTGGTGAAAATGTGATACATGACCGGAGTATTGTACATTACGACGAGTTGCGATTACGGCTACACATACCGAATCTGGGTCAATGCCAATAAGCGCACCAGCGCTCCGGTAACTTCTGTACCGTAATGACTTGGTAAATGCTGAAAGTGTGCCAAACAATCCAAATAACTGAAGCTTCTTAATTTATGAACGGGTTATGCCGGACATTAGCCACATAATGCCCATAAAAGCACTAAGTTTCGACAATATGACTTCCGATTCTTTCTTTGTAATGCCTTTAAAGACTCGGAAACAGAATTTATCGCCTTACCTTGTCATCCATGCAAATTTAAGGCACCCGAATGACCACACTGATATGCCACTTAGCAGGCGAGAATACGAACAGCACATGCCACACACCTAACTTATACCTATCCATGTGGCGCATGAGGCTACCGTCATCTTATTTATCGCTGTGTCGTTTTCAGGCGCCACTGCCCAGCCACCGTTCGTGGTGACACCCATCCTGGGGGTGTTGATCGGACTGGTGGCGACGCTCATCATCCTAGCCATCGGAGCAGTCGCCTGCATCAGAAACAGAAGGTGGGTTTGACCCTAGCTGAGGGACAAGGGTGGGTGAGGGTGGGTATAAGTGCATGGTAAGAATCAATACAGCTGCGTCCGCATCTGCTTGCAATCGCTTTAAAGTCCGTTTATGAGGACGGTTGAGTGCCGCTGATGAAATAGAGGACCAGCTAACCTGTGAGCAGCGCTATTTATTTGAATGGTATCCGTTATTTGTGATAAGTGTTATTTACATTCTATAAAATCGGATATCGCATATATCCACGACAACGGCACCCTAAGCATTTTTATGCAATTATTGTTTATTTTTCAATGCTTGCTTTGCTCATCTGAACATCAAAATGGCAAATTCTCCCGGATTACGATATCAAAAGAATGTAGTCAATATGTTTGCGAGCTCATCCTTTTATCATCTCTATGGAAGCGTACCTACTGTCTTTGATCTTTTCCTTGTACGTTGGGCGAAGGTCTCTCTCAGCAAGACCGCCGCAGTTCTTACTTTTAGAACCTTAAAAAAAATGGAAGTAGGGATCTTTCTATGGGGCTCAGGCTTTCTCATCTTCCAACTCACTGAAACTATTTCGTGACCACATCAAAACCACTCCTGACCACCCTCGCCCGTTCTCCAGCGGTCGCTCGCGGAAGGCAGCCTCAGAGGCGGAGCGCAGCCCGGCGTGCTCGGCTCCGGTCAAGGCCGGGTCATGTCCCGGCTCGGAGGCGGATACCGAGCCGGACTCTGCGCAGCTGCGGCCGCTGGCCAACTCGCTCACCAAGGCGTTCGACGCGGACGAGCTGAACCCCGACGTCGTGCCCAGCGTACACGGTGAGAGAGGATGAGTGATGGTAAGAAATTAATATCAATTCAGGGTCCAGTGGCTTTATGTATTTGGTAAGACACTGGCATACATCATAAGACATATAGTTGTGAGGACTTGGTGTTTTTAGCAAGATTGAATTAGCAAACACGAGTGAGGAAGAACTGCTATTCAAACAATGAGTAAACAGAGAAGATGCGTTGAGATTCCATAATACGTTGTGAGAGGCCGTTATATCCCGTGAGAGCCCATTATATCCGGCTCAGAGCTCAGAGTACACAGATATGGGGTAGCTAACTCGTGTTGGATGACGGATGCGATGGCCCGTGCTTGTCACCTTAATGAGGTCCCTGAGGAGGTCCAGCTCGCCTACCCGGTGGCCCCACACACAGTGAAGTCAGACCCGCTGCAGTGAGACCGGTGAGGGGGACGGTCAGTGACCTCACAGTCTACATTGCTCTTTGCTTATAACGTCTATTTTTCTCCGCAGATCCCGGCTATGAAGTTACTGAAGGGACGATAATGTTGAATCATATTACCGACGATATAAAAAAGAACAACGCGCCGCCGCCCGTGCGACCAAAGCCGAAACCCATCAGGGCAAACATATATCAGGTGAGTGCTTCTGACTGACTTCGCTCAAGTCAAGCGTCTTGCTTTAATATGTAACTGGTTCTTTTTAGTAAGTTAGCAATGTTTTTCTGCCGTTGTCATTCCGCTATTTTTCTGCACTTTTATTGCTTTGCTATAATGAAATATGTTTATGACTGTCTAGTCAACATCCTTGAGGCGACACTCAGTATTCAACTCTTTGCACTTTTTCTCTAATATTTTCAGCGTCTCAGAACGGGACAAATCTAGTTAATCATCACATTAATCATAAAAATGATGGGAAGGCGCACTGATCACGGCTACCGAAATGATGACAGCCTTTCTTCCCCATCCCTCAGCGTCCATTGGGGAGATTGGTAAATCCCTAACGTTTTTCACTGTCACTGATCGCGCTCCTCTGTCAGTGATTGCACCGGATGGTTAATGGCTTCCAGTCTTCATAAGTGTCTCTGTGGCTGGAAAACCAATGAAAAATCATCTGCAGGCCTTTCTGTATGCTTGTTGATCAGAGGTGTTCAATATGGCTGTAACCCATTAGGTACTCATTGAAGACAAACTCGAGCTGCAGCTTCATTACATTGATAGCCAATGAAGCTCGCAACATGCAAGCAAACACACTGATGAAGCATTCAACTTAGGGTCGTTGCATGCTCTTCCGGTCACTCTAAAACACGAGACGGCTACTGAAGTACACAGGTCTGGAGGCGTTTGCATCAGTAATGGCGCTCCACAGAGCCCCTGAGAGCGGTGCCAGGGGCAAATGCCAGAGTCGATAGCCCCAGGAGCTGCATTCAAGTGTTCCTTAACCACAAACGAGCAGAGAGCAGAAAAGACGGTTATGCCAGCGTCTCTCTCTCTCTCTCTCTCTCTCTCTCTCTCTCTCTCTCTCTCTCTCTCTCTCTCTCTCTCTCTCTCTCTCTCTCTCTCTCTCTCCTCTCTCTCTCTCTCTCTCTCTCTCTCTCTTCTCTTTCTCTTTCTCTTTCTCTTTCTCTTTCTCTTTCTCTTTCTCTTTCTCTTTCTCTTTCTCTTTCTCTTTCTCTTTCTCTTTCTCTTTCTCTTTCTCTTTCTCTTTCTCTTTCTCTTTCTCTTTCTCTTTCTCTTTCTCTTTCTCTTTCTCTTTCTCTTTCTCTTTCTCTTTCTCTTTCTCTTTCTCTTTCTCTTTCTCTTTCTCTTTCTCTTTCTCTTTCTCTTTCTCTTTCTCTTTCTCTTTCTCTTTCTCTTTCTCTTTCTCTTTCTCTTTCTCTTTCTCTTTCTCTTTCTCTTTCTCTTTCTCTTTCTCTTTCTCTTTCTCTTTCTCTTTCTCTTTCTCTTCTCTCTCTCTCTCTCTCTCTCTCTCTCTTTCTCCCTCCACCCTTTTTTTCCTCCCTCCCCTTTGCAACACCGAAGATGGTTAGTGCATCGTACGAAATATGTAGCTCATAAACCAGTGCGATGTGTCCAGTGCTTGTCTTCTCTAGCAGTGTCGAATCAGCTATCAGTAAGCAACAATAATTGTCGCTCATTGTCCTTTGGATTGATCCTGAGTATGATCCCGTTTCCACACCGTAATCAGTACATCCCACTGCACTTTGCAACGCATGTCCTGCCTCAACCGATTTCCTTTGAATAGGACCTCTTGCATATGACCTCTGACATCTAACATCTGACCTCTGACTTCTGTCCTCTGACCTCTGACCCTTTGTCGGCAGGATGACGTGACGTACGCGGAGCTGACCCTGCCCCGGTCAGGTCAGCAGGGCAAGCAGTGTCGCCCGAGGGCCTCTCCGGCCTCAGGGGTCATCTACGCCTCCATAGACCACGGCAAATCCGTCAGTCTGGGGCCGCACACGGCGTCAGCGCGCAGCGTTCTGCTCAACAACCAGAACGAAACGGTCGTTTGATGACGCTCCTCCGTGGAAACGCGCGACCTAGTGGTGTGTCTGCGGCGTTACAGCTGTGTTGTGACGTGTTTTTGATGACGGCCGGGCGATTGTGTCGGCGCAGCGCGATGACGTCCATGACGTCGGGGTGTGATGACGTGTTTGGTGGCGTCAGTGACGCTGTGATGGAGAGGCTGTACGGCGGTGAGTTGGAAACCATGGTGAAGATCCGCTCTGCTGGAGGCGCCGCGTTTGATGTGATTGGCTTCCGCGAAAGACATCCGTCGAGTTGTGAGCGCCGGAGCGTTTGCATTGGTGCTGAGGTGATTGGCTGATTGATGTGCTGTTATTCTGGGATGTGAGTGGAATTGGTTTTCTGATCAGCGCCAGTAACACAGTATCAATTTTCGCCGCCGCGGCTGGAACAGATGCCATGGACGTAACACGGTGTCGACGGAACGGGAACGCTCTATCAATGACAGTGCTCAGTGCGGACATCGCTCACTTCTGGTTTCCCGGTGAACCCGGCGCCCCGATATGGGTTCCGGGAACGGAGCCGCCGTATCAGCCAAGTCCGGTTCCGCTGGTAATAGGTTATCCCGGCCGGCACGGGTGAACCGTTTTGTAGCCGGTACCTCGCACACGTGCTAAATTCTGGTCGAGGTTAAAAACGTTCACTCCATATTTGTGGGCTGAAAAGTCAGATCTGACTATAAATTCTATAATTCGACAAATATGACTGACTCTGGAAATGAGTCGTGGGCTGAAAACTCCTGAAAACGACGTAATTTGCTATCTGCAGCTCACCTTTTCGAGTCTGAAATACTAACTGCTTCAATTATTATATTGTGTTTAAGATTATATTGTTGTATATTTGATCGCCTTTAGGTGCTTACCTATGAGAAGCCGTAACAGTGAAATAATCGGCATACCTTTTTCTGTTTCAGTGACTTGCGTTAAAAGAAGAGTACCAAGTGATTTTCTCGGAGCCAAAAGTAATCTTTTGAGACCATACATCAGCCCACTAAACCAGCATAATGTTTGCTTGAAATGGTATTGTGCCTGGCTTTGTGGAACATTTCTAAAATATTGACATGAAAATCGATCGTGAGTTGCACATCGTATAAAAGGCAGTACAGAATTGCATGGCCTCTTGGAATCTAGCACAAGTGTAAACTCAAGTTCTCGTCCGTTTAAGCTGCATTAGGTACTCTTCCCGTCCCGAGGTTCATAATTGATTCATGATCTTCTTTTTATCAGGCGCTGACAAGTATGGTAAAAATCTCTCAGTCGCCACACAATAAAGCATTGGTTTATTTGTCATCAGGAATAAAATCCCCGCAATGCAACCAGTTTTAACCAGAGTGATGAAATGTTTTCCAGTCGTTGCAATCGTGCAATGGAACATGGGTTCTCAATTTTATGCAAAACTTCTCGTTTTTATCGGCATTTTTTTAAAATATTTTTAGTCCGAACCTTTTGAATGGAAGGATTCACAAGGACAGAGCCCCAGCTAAGTGAAGTGTGCTCTGGTGCAGAGCAATGTGTGCTCTGATGATCCGAAGTCCATTTCTGAGGCTGTATCGACGCACATTTGTTGAACTGAAATACACTAGTTAATACGCTGGACAATCAAACCTCGGCACAAATTTGCCAGCCTATTAAGACATCTTGCGGTTTACAAATAAAGCATAGTGGTATTTAGTGAACCGTCGATATCCTTTTTGCTCTCATATATCACTTCTAAACGGTTTATGTTATTTTTAGGGGTCGTGCAAAACAGTTCATTGAACAAGACGAAAGATCAGAGCGGGGCAAAATAGATGCTGGTACAATCTTTAAACATTATGTCCGCGACAATCAATTCCACTTCTCAGCTTCTTCTCATAGAAGTGCACAAAAATGATAGCGCTGAAAAACGCTCAAAACACTCGTAACTCGTTGCGCTGTGTGATGTTGGCTCGAACACTTTGCCAGCTGGTGTTGAATGAATGCCTCGCTGTGTTGTGCGCGTGTCTGGCGGCCTATACCGCCGTCGGCCGGATCGTCCATGTAACTTGTATCAAGTGTTGCCAGAACGTGTAGACCGTCTCCTTCTACTCAGCTATATCTGTGTCGATGTGAGCTGAACACTGCGGTTCCTCTCGCCGTGTGGGCTGAACACCACGGCTCATTCAGCTTTACCATGTTGTCTGCTCCGCGTTCCGGCGTAGACAGCCACCTCAGCTGGCAGTCCCGACTGCCGCAGATGTCTGTTTGGTGTTATTTTGTCAGCTATACGCTCGTCAGGAAGCCTATACCAGTATTCGCAGCCGAGGCGGTGTTGAAACGGGCACGTATTGTCCAGCGTAGTGGTGCCCCGTGTTGAAACTGTGGCCAGAAGTCGGTGGTTAGTCGTGTCGAGAGCTCCGCCGCCGATAACCGTATATCGTTGTTCGGAGAGAAATTTGCATTCCATTAGTGTCTTCCTGACAGTGAAATCATGCATGTACATACACTTTGTGCTGTTTTATACTGTAATACACTTGTCATCTGAATTCTGATTTGGTGTAAATTATCGTTGTGGCGCGTATAATTCAGCTAGAGATTCAGCTCGGCATAATCGTTCCAGACAACGAATAACCGTTGTGAAATGTTTTGATAGGCATTAGCAGCACCACAGATGGACTGTTACTCATCTATCAGACGCGCCGAAACCAACCACAACGATGACTGATAGGGATTTATCGTCGACAATTGCGGTCGCTCCGTCAGAGTCTCGTTATGGAATGTTGTACCGCGCAGAAAAACACAAGGACAAGAACACATTCCCATGCGCCCAGCGTCTCTAGCGTCTCTAGTCCTCTGAAAACAAAAGGCGCATCAGCTCAAACCTGCTTCTGCGCATGGCCTGCACGTGGTTGTGCCTGCCAATTTGTCATGTTAAGGGCTGCGTAATTGGATTGGAAACTCATCTAACTCGTATCCTAGCGCATGCATGCACTTATTTCAGATTTATGGACTCTAAATCCGCATAACTCTGGGGTTTACTTAACGCCACTGTCATGGAGATTCGTCCGACCTGCCAGATGCCATAAAGCGTCTTGTAAGCCGTCAGCAGACTGCAACCAAACTGTCTTCATTGTTCCCTTACTTTCGCAGCCCGAACGTTATTGCCGGGACGATAACTCAACACGATCAACTCACTGGTACGAACATTCATAAGCATACATTGCGGTATGTTCATCTAAAGAACGGTGAGCACTCAACCCCCATAAACTAACGGGACTCGCACATGTGCGTTTCAGCGTCGTTAGCCAGTTATAAGCACCCTCATCTGTGATCGTTGCGCTACAGTCGTGACGGTTTCGATACGATGTGGTCAATTCACTAAAGCAAACCAGACCAGCGATCAAATCACCCTATTGTTTGAGCTCTCGCGCCGCTCATAATTGGAGGTCAGCTACAACCTGCTGCATCCGGACAGTAAATTCTAAAAGTCATGGCTAACCACAGACAGATGCTTGAGATGACTTTTGGTGATACATTTCATTAAACCACAGCACGGTCATTTTGCTCTTCCAGCAAAAATTGAGGACAATCTGACATGTCTGATGTTATCGGTATTGTGGTGAGTTAGGTAAGACGGCTCCAAAATGGAATTGAATATAGGAGGTTGGATTGCTATCACGTAGTTTTTCTCGTCCCGCTCGTTCGAAAGAAAGAAAGTAATAAGCTAACTTGCTAAGATTTCTTAAAAATAGAGAAATATAAAATAGAAGAATCTGAATATTTTTTTGGCAGAAAAATGAAGCAGTTTTGTGACCAAAACGCGGAGAAGTGACGAATGTACAATGTACATGACTTTTACCCTGTGATAATGTTTACATTCACGGATGCTTACATTAAGAGGCTTTCAGCTTCACCAAAATGATTCCACACATCATTCAGTTTGATCGCGTCATGGTTAGACATTCGTGGTTATCTGTGTGCGTATCTGGATGTGTTTGTGCTTAATGTATGTTTTCTCCTGTTTGTATGTTTGGCAGAAATGCTAAACAGCGCATCCCAACGCGCGACACGTAACCTCGACTCGACCGTAACTTTTGCTAACCAACTTCGCTGACAGGAAACGGCGCCCAACTTTTGCCTATCTAGCAAATTGATTTTAATTGTGGTGGCGTGGCAGCTGCAGTTTGGCGACCGCCCCGAGCAGCGGCAGCTAATTAACGGCTGCTTTGCCTGCTGTCCGGGACGCTGCGGCGAGACACCCGGATCGATGGTGTTTGCGTGACTGCCGCCGCGTTTGATTTCGCACCGGGCAGCTCCAGCGGGGAGGCGCGTCTGTTCGGCAGCCACAGACGCCGCCCGGTGACAGTTCGGCTCGTTTCCATGGTGATCGGTGGTCTATGTTATGCACGTTAGAGGGCAATTGGCGAGCTGCTGGCGACATCACTGACGATAGTGTTTGGTGATGTACGGCGATCAAACAAACTAACGGCGATTATGGAATGAAATAGCTTACAGGATCGCAGTTACCGCCTGTATGATGTCTAGCGACTGTTACCATGGCCGAAACAAAATGTTACCCTATGTGCAGATTTCTACCAAAGTTACTCTAGTAATAAAGCAAACAGAAGCAAAAGGTCAGATACGCTCCTATCGATCATATCCCTACTTATACCGTAAAAAGACAAGTGACGCCAATAGAAGCAAAACATTCAGAATTAGATAAAAGAAACGCTAGAAATAGCTCGAGCAGCCGAAAGGTCAAACAATTTAATCGCGGTACCTAGTAGATGTTCGCTGTTTGCTGTCCACTGTGGACTGTGGACCTGTGGACTGGCTGCTTTTCGATGGATAAGTGGTTCGTATTAGCCCTTTTCCCGAGATAACATTGAACACCTATTCGATCTGTTTGATCCGTTTGCTACCTGAGAAACTCAAGTAATTGTTCACTCGGCGCGGGCGGGTTTCCGCCTTTCGAATGAAATGTTGATTGTCCTGCTTCTTTGTCTTCAAATTCAATCAAATAGGTACCCAATGTTCCGTGGTGGAACGGACTTGTGTCGCTGTCCGCTTCCAATGTTTCTTGTCACCAGTATACCTGTCAGAGCCATTCAAGCGAAGTTTTCGGACCATCACACCATCACATTGAATTCGATGGCGCCCGAGTGGCGGGGCACGCGCCCCTCATCTTGTGCCGCGGGCAATTGAACGCCCACGCCGGCGGCGCGCGGAGGCACATTTCGCAGAAGCGCGAGCACCTCAACACCGCACCGCGGCAATCGGCGCACAATCAGCCGGAGAGCGTCAGGAATTAATGACATGTTCCATGCTCCATTTACAAATGAAGCGAGCAGCGGCCGGGTGACGGCGCACGGCCCCCTGGACGCCCTAAATCAGGATATGTCACTTTAACGGATGAGCTCGCGACGAATTTGCAGCCTGATGTGACGTAAGGCGTGTCAAGTAGCTGCAGCGGCGGTGATTTGATGAAGGTCAATCGAATCAGAGTAGTAAACGATGTCCAGTGACGGTCCCGTATTTTTCGACATGGGTAATTGTTGGCTTATTGTTGAGTTAAAACATTGCTGGACTCATGAGTCATGCATGCCCAAAGCTGGGCGTGCGTAGTAGGCCAGTTGTTTGTGCCCAAACTAGGCCAGTCGCTACTCGCTACTGAGGTTATAAACAATTAATATCGGATGTCCACATGTAGTATAATTTTGTTGATAAAACTTTCAAAGCTGTAACGTAAAACGATGTCGTGTTCACAACTCAAAATCATAAATATGCGCTAATTGAATCTGATTGAAGAAGTCAAAATGAAGGTATGTGCACTTGATAGAAATAAATAAAGTCAGACTACCAATGCTTTTTCAGTGTTTTTTTTTAAGGTTACCTAGTGCCCGTTCACGAGCTTCAGAATTCCTTTACCGTGACGTCATCACGGCGCATGAATTTTCCTTCACCCATAGAAATGCATGCAAAGCATGGTGTGTTTCAGGCGGGCTAAGGAGAAATCTAAGGCCTACATGTGTTCAAAAGACGTACCACTAAGCCAATGGATTCGTCTCATTACGATAAATGGGGTTGAAATCGAAACATTCGGCCTATATTTATCTAAAATGGGCCAATCAAATGGTCCCTGCAACTCATAATGAAGGATTTCCTCTGCGTTGAAAAATTTGTTTCAAGTGTTTTTTATCAGCGACAGGGGGAATCCTTCATAGTTGCTACCAGATTACTACCATATTCCCTCGCATTTCTGTTGCGCATTGCCTCACAACTCAGAGTTTTGTGAAGTTTATACTAATTTAATTGTCATATTTTGACTGATTTTGGCGATTTTTAATTATTTCAACGCAGCATGGATCACGTAGCTCTCATAGTTTGCTGACGAATGTGGCTTTTGCTTGGTTATTATCAAGTTATGTGATTTGGTGCGTCGTGATCGTAGCATTATGTAAAATGCAAATTATTAAATCAATTTTTGAAATAAAGTTCACATGAAAACCAATAGTTCAAGCATAATAATGGTTTAAACATAAGGATGCAACAAGTGTCTCCGAGATGGAACTCATATTTCAAATGAAAACTGAAAATGGAAAACAGAAGATGGATCTGCGGAGTCACTGAGATCACAAAGTGCTCTTGATTGTTGGTAGTTGAAGATGTTGAGAGAACTTGTGAATCTGCATACCAGGTCCTGACTTGCTTGATTATTCAAAGCTATTTTAATTCTCATAATTGTGTGTAGTGACTGTGCACACTGCGTAGCACATAGAAATGTGCAGGTGGCTGGTGCCTGGTAGGTGGGTTAAACTTCGGAGGTGCGAATTTGGATGTCAGTTTAAAATTCATGGTTATGCCCTGTAGAGTAAGCTCTGCTGTTATTTTTGTCTTTTTATAGTTGTAGGTATATCTAATACAGCTGTTAGTTTCATTTTTATTAAAATGCTCAACCAGAATTTGCACATGTTTCATGCATGAATGGCTAAGTTTGGGGCGTTTATTCAACTCTGACTGCTAAAGTTTTTCAAAGGCACATATGGCACAGCACGACTTCGGGCTAGATCAGCTGGTACCTACCTGTTGACTTTTTTCTATTTTTGGTGGTGATGTGTTTGCTGTTTGTCTTTTGCACGGTGGTCAATGAAATAAAATAATGCATTATTTTGGAATGTTTCCTTAACAGAAGCCAGGGCCCAATCTTACCAATGCCGTGAATAGGATTTGGCAGCACTGGCCGGATTTTACGGCACTGATATCAAAGATGAGCTTTTTATTTACCTCCGGGTAATCTTGTCCAATGATTTTGATAGTGTGAATGATTATGAATGTCGCCAGAACGAATGAATGAGTGAGTGTGGAATAGTTCTGAATGTTACCAAATGCCGTGAATGCGCATTCACGGCATTTGGTAAGATTGGGCCCAGGAGCCGGATTGATGTGTGCTGGTGAATGAGATGGTTCAAAAGCATTATCTGATGTTTTTCAATGTGCACAAGCCATAACATTCCTTTCATATGCTGAACTTTTAAAGAGCTTCTCAGTC